TGACGTTAAGGACCAAAGGGACCGGGAGCCTGCAGAGGCTCCGAAGGACCCAAGGGGACCGAGGACGGCCAAACTGAACAGAGCAGGGCTTGCTTGTGTGAGTGGCCGTGGCTGCGGGTGGGGCCGCGCGGTGATGTCATCAGCACACCGCACTCACGTGGCAGCCTGGAGTGTGGGAGGCGTGTGGAGCCCTCAGACGTAGGCGAGCGCACCTTTTATTTGAAATAAACCGTCTCGGAAACACCACACATGATGCACAGGAGGTGAGGGAACAGCATGTGCAAAGGCCCCGTAGCAGGAGGGAGCGCGGTGAGTGCTGAGGCTAAACACGTGGGTCAGGGCCACCTGCAGGCCTCTTGGGTCCCGTGGGAGGTGGGCCTTCTACTGAGCAGTGGGAGTCATTGAAGGAGTGGGACTGGCGATGCTGACCCACACAGGGTGTGTGTGTATGGGGGGTAGGGGTTCATACTGGGACCAAATAGTCAGTGTAGAGCGTGAACCCGTTTCCCTGAGGATTGTCTGGCAGGTTCCAGGGCCAGGACCAGGTTTGGGTGGCCCAGTTTGAGTGCCCTCCTTGGGCACCATTGTCCCAGTGTGAATTTGCTTTGTTGAAAACTGTGTCCCCTCTCTGAGGGATCTTGAGACCACCCCAGAATCAGGCCACGCCTGTTATTCCCTGGCAGCCTGGGGCCCTAGAGTCTGGATGACAGTGGTGGAGGCCAGTGAGGGGGGTACAGAGCAAGTCTCCACATAACACTGGTCACATCACCCCTGTCAGCCTGTCCGCCTCCACTCAGGTCTGTGTGTTCTTCCCCAGAGCGGAGGCCAGCTCTGCCCTGCTTAGGTGAACACTGCTCCAAGAAGACCCTCATTGGAAGCTGGGGGCCATGCCCTGGGCTTTGGTCATACTTGGGGTTTCTGACTGATGCCTGCCCCAGGGCTGGCCACTCCGCTCTCAGTCCCAGCATTCAGCCAGGTCTCAGCATTCCTGTGGCTGTCCCCTCCTTGCTGTTGGCCTGACTGGCTGGCCTGAGGGATTTGGCCCAGAACGACACCCGCCCTCCATTCTACTCCATCCCCAAGTTCACGTGTAAGGCAAGAAGCCTAAGGCCATCTTACCAGTCCTATCTGCCTTTGTCCATCTCTACCAAGAAGTCAGAGGATCTAGTCACAGCGCGGATTAGATCAGATCACCCCCAGGCTCCCATTCACACTTCAAATCCACACTTCTTACCATGGCCTACAGGACTCTGGCTGCTGGCTGCTGCCTCCCCATCCCAGCTCACCTCCTGCCACTCACCTTCGCAACCGCTCCAGCCTGGCCAGCCTCTGCACTGAACGCCTCCTGACTGATGGTTTGCACTTGCTGTTTTCCTGCCGAGAATGCCTGCCTCCCGAGCTGGCTCCGTCCTGTCACTGCAGGCCCAATGTCAGTGTCCCCTCAGAGGAGACTTCCTGACCTCTTAAATATGCCACCACCACCCCCTTCATCCTTCTAGCCTGTTGAGTTTTTTTTGTTTTGTTTTTTTTTATCCTCACCCGAGGACATTTTCCAATTTTTTTATTCAGGTAGAGTGGGAGGGAGAGAGAGGAAGAGAGAGAGAGAGAGAAACATCGACGTGAAAGGAACACATCAAGTGGCTGCCACCCACACGACCGACCAGGGCCGGGGACAAACTGCAACCGAGGTACGTGCCCTTAGCGGGAACCGAACCCGGGTCTCTCAGGACCGCAGGTCGATGCTCTAACCGCTGAGCCAAACCGGCCAGGGCTAGCCTGTTGAGTCTTCGAGAACTATCACTACTTGGAATGTTCTTGTTTTTTCAGTTTCATGTGTCTTTACTGTGTGAGACCCTGAATGTGAACTCCATGGGAACAGGGACAGGACTCCCTCGATTTTGTTCCATCCTGTATCCCCTGGGCTTAGAGTAATGCCTGAAACACAGCAGGTGCCCAGTGAATGTGGCTATGGACTTAGCTGTCACTTACTGAGCACCGCATCACGCAGTCATGTATTGCCAGGATGTGTGCCAAGTGCTCTATGTGCCTCACCTCAGAAAGAGGCTCAGCGCTCCACTGCTGACTCTGGCACAGTAACAGCTCTCCTAAGCTTAGGAGAGTCGAGCAGGCTGAGGTGAGGCCTAGGAACATGCATTTCCCCAGGATTCCTCCCAGGATTCCTCCCTCCTCCCTCCCCAACTCTTTAAGAAACCAATGGTCTGTAGAATGTGATGGACCTGGTACAGGTCTTGGCTGTCATGTTTGAGCAGTGTGACCTTGAGTGACTGTACTCTGCACCTCCATTTCCTCATCTCTAAAATGGGGATCCGAGTCCCTGGCTCAGGGCGGCTTTGATGTGGGCTGAAGCCTGTTCCTGCACCTGCATGCAGTCTGCATGGTAAAGAGCTGCCCCTTTCCCACTGTGTATGCACCATGCTGCCCAGCTCACCCACTCTCATTCAGGAGGGCACCTCAGTGGCACCTGAGCCCCAGACACCACCCCCAAACCCTCACTTTTCATTCTTGTAAATTGACGTCAGCGCTGCTGAATCATGAAGCTGAGGTTTGAGATCTGCACCACTCGGGCAGCCGCATGGCTCACTGTACCACCCCAGCCCTTCCTCTGCACAGGTGTCTGCACAGGACCTCAGTCCCACGGGGCCCGGAGTGCAGCTCCCGGGGACGCTTAGGTCATTTTAGGCCACTGTACATGTTAGTATAGATATTTTTTTAATGACTTACAGAGAAGGGGCCAGCTGTGTGATCAGAGGGGTCTTTATTCTTAGCTGTTTTGCTTCAGATTTTATAGAGGGAATGGGTTTGTGTAATGAAAACATGGTTTTTAAACTTTTTTTTTTATCCTCACCGAGGACATCTTTCCATTTTTTGTTCAGATAGAGTGGGAAGGAAAGAGAGGAATAGAGAGAGAGAGAAAAACATCAACGTGAAAGGGACACATCGAGTGGCTGCCTCCCACAGGGCCCAACCAGGGCCGGGGACAAACTACAATCGAGGTACGTGCCCTTAGCGGGAACCAAACCTGGGTCTCTCTGGACCGCAGGCTGACGCTCAAACCGGCCAGGGCTAAACTTTTTTTTAAAGGAGGAAAAAAACCTGAAAATATTGTCAACTACCTTCTAATTCATCCCTCTTTGGATGAGGACCTGTTTCCTCATCTGTAAAATGGGGATCTTAGTAGTGAATCATAAGGCTAGGTTGAAAGTTGAATGTTTTAATATAGATAACAAGGGGCTTGGAATGGTGATGGCACAGTAATGCTATATGTAAATATAAGCAGCTGCTGCTGCTATTATTGAGACCACTAGGCCCTTGTGGGAGGCTGTGTTACCTAACGGTACCCAGCCTCTGAGGCAATGCAATCTAAGTTTGAACATCTGGCTCCACCACTTGCTGTGTACCCTACTTTGCATCTCTGAGCCTCAGTTTTCCCACCTATAAAGTGGGGGGGAGGGGGTTTCTAGCTCACAGACTAGTTGTGAGGATTAAACAAGGTAGCACAGGGCCCTCCACACAGTAAGTACTCACTAAGTGTCTGCGGTGTCCCAGCACCGCCTTCTTGGATTTCTCTGGATTTTTTTAGGCACTGCCCAGACTGGGTAGAAAACAGAGAAAGTCAGAACAAGGACAGAACTTGATCCACACAGCAGAGAACAAAGGGCAGGGAGGTGATTAAAAGAAGAGTCCTTGGAGCCACAGAGACCTCAGGGCACCTCCTTCCCTCCCACCCCACCGTATTAAAGGATAAATCACTGAAGCTTTCTGAGATCCCAAATCTCTCCCGGCCATCCTGAACACTGAGGCCTGGAACGTTTTTAATCCCCAAGACAAGCCTGGGCAGCTCCAGGTCTCAAGTTAATTTTATGGTGCACTTTCAAGTCTGAAAGGTATTATTAAATATGAGGACACGCCATTATAAGCATGTCCGAGGCTGCAAAGGCCCATTCCAACTTCTAAAAATGAAGTGCGACATCTGCTTAACCCTAAACCTGAAAATGACTCAATTCACTAGGTGCAGCAGCACAGCCCTGAGTTGCCAGCATGGCTTATCTGTCAGGCCGGACAGAGACATAGGAGTAGCCATAAAACCCTTGCATGGGGCCTTTCTGGGGATGCGGGCCAGCCCCACAAACACCCTGGAGTAGCCCTTCGCTCCCCTGGCTCCTGAAAACATCACTTTCTCTGTAATGCCTAGACACCTGCTGCTGAGGGTTCCATCTCCTCTAACAAGCCCATTTTTGAAGTCCACACTGAGGCCCCAAGAGGCAAAGGGAATTGCCCAAAGCTGCCAGCAGGGCCCTCCCACCTCCACAGACCACAAAGCCTCTTTCGGACTCCAAGTTATGTGTTCACCAAAAAGTACATGAGACAAAACAGGGCGGGAAGAAGGAAGTCAGGTCCAACCTTATATCCTCCATCCCATCTAAAATAGGTTTCTCTTGATGCTGAGTTTCAGAATATACCACTCCTCCTTCCAAAAACTCATCAAGCCCCCACTTCCCCCTCCCTTCCTGGGAAATTACTGTGTGTGTCACAATGAAATTTTCTCTCTTGTCATCCATTTCCCTGTGAACAGCTAAAAAAGATCCAAATGTCTTCTTTGACACAAGAACGACCAAAGGCAAATTTACCTACCCCTGCACTGCTTTTCTCTTCTGTAAAATGGGTTAAGAGCCTTGCTTCATTGGATTGTCTCAACAGGATTAAGTAAATGGAAGTAGGTAAAACTCTGAATAGGGCCTGGCACACTTGAAGTGCTCAAAGGAGAGCTGCCATTTTAACCAGACATACAATACTAAAACTAGACCAATGGTTCCTCTACCCCCAGAGCTGTGGAGGGAACCAAGCACAGAACATGGACCACATACCACCACCTCCAGACAAACAGGTCAGTCTTAGGATCCCTTTCCCCTGGACCCATTCAGAACCAAGGAAAACTTTTGACGAAAGCATACGCTCTAGAAACCTTTTTTCTTTAAAACAAAAAAAAACTTTCATAATAAAGTTTATTACCTAAACTGGTTGTAAAAAATATAAAATAGGATTCTGCACAGCAGAAAAATAAAGCCAGAGACCCTCCCCCAACCCCTGGTTTGTGCAAAGATACTGGGTATATGTAAACATGAAGAGGTAGGAGGTACAAGTTCAGGTCCTGGCCCCAGATACAGTTAAGTTAAGCTGCTACTACAACCAGGGAGACCCAGAGGGAGCACCAGGAGGGGGGCACGCCCCCAAGAGTTGGGGAGGGGTCTGTGGTCTTATCTCCAGCCGAGAGGGTTAGGGACCTCGCCCCCCACACCGGCTCCCTCCAACCCAGGCGGGGAGGGCACCCACGTGGTTCCAAGGAAATAATAATTAATAATAAGAAATCACAAGGCTCCCCAGTTAATGCTGCCTGTGCGGCCGGTCAGATCTGGAAGGGGAAGGAGCTCAAGTAGTCTCGGAGGACGGGGTTGAGGGGAATGCGCGCCAGGTTCTCACGGCCCACGGTGGCTACGATGCACTGGCGACACAGCTCCTGCAGCGGCCGCACGCGGCGCTGGCGCAGCGGGGCCCCCAGAATGCGGCGCGGCGCCGCCACGTAGTGCTCCAGCAGCTCGAAGAGGCAGTCGAAGCTTTCGCGGCTGCCGTCCAGGTGGAAGCGGCCAGCCTGGAAGTACACACGTATGCTTGTGGGGCCCGAGGCCATCTTCACGCTGAGGGCGAAGAAGCAGTTCCGCTGGCAGCTATCACGCACCAAGAAGGTGCCAACTGGCTCAGCGAGAAGCCGCTCATGCGCTCCGTGCACGCTTAGGGGCCCCCAGTAGAAGCCGCAGGCGTCCAGAAGCGCGCTGGTGCGGGTGATGCGCCGGTAATCGGCGTGCGAGCGGAACGTGCGGAAGTGCGTGTCACCCGGGGCCGGAGCCGGGACCGCCGGGCAGGGCCGCGGGCGCACCGGGGCCACGGGCGAGGAGGAGGAGGAAGGCTCTGGCTGCCGTCGGGGCTCTGCTGCCGTGGAGATTGCATTGTCGGCTGCCACCTGGTTGTGTGCTACCATCCTACACGCGGGGCCAGCCGGAGGGGTGGGCCATAGCGTCCGGGGGTGCGCTGATGGGGGAGACAGAGGCAGTGAGCGGAGAGTCTGGGGGTGTGTGGGGCTTAAGGCTGAGCCGCTGACCCTCAAGGGCCGACGGCACAAGACCAACACCGCGCCATCCCCTTGAGCCTCAGTGGGCTCATTTCGAAAACGGACTTCTCTGTGCCCGGAGCACTCCCAGGCGGTGGGGGTCAGTGGGGGCGGGGTCCAGGCGCCCGCAGGCTCCGAGTTTGGGAGAGCGGAGGGGGGCGTGGAGAGCGGTGCCAGGGAGAAGCCTGCCCCAACTACAGGGTGGCACTCAGCTCGCCGCCTGCTGGTCAGCCCAGGGACTGGCGCCTGGTCCGGGCGATTTGGGCACAGGCAGGAGGAAAGCTGCGCTGCGGGAACTCCACGCGCGGGGGGCTGCCAGGGTGGGGCCGGCGGGAGCCAGGGGCTGTGGCAGCAGCGACCCCACAACGCAGTCCTCGAGGCCAGCCTGACACCCGGTTGTCCTTTCCTTTCCGTTTACCCCCTCTCCCACCCGCTTCTTTGCCTCAGTGCCCGGCTCACCTGGCGGCGGGGCGCGGGGCGCCGCAGGAGGGGCGGCGGGGGGGCTCCGGGGCGGCTCTCGCGCATGCTCCGGGGCCGGGAGCCGTGCAGCTGCCACGGCCGCAGCTCGCTCTGCTCCGCGCCCGCCCCTGCAGCAGTCTTTTAAACCGGCTTGGGGCGGGGCCTCCCATCGCGGGCCCCGCCCCTTGTAGGCTCCACCCCCTGCAGGCCCCGCTGTTCCGCGCCACTTTCGGTTTCTTTTTCTTCGGTGGAGGCCACACCAGCTCGACCTTTTGCATACACCGGAGACTCTCCCCTGGGAGGCCCCTGCTCTGACTTAGCCTCGCACCTGTCCTCGGAACCTTCCATCAGGTCTCTAGCCTCGTCCCTGAACCCCCTGGCCACTCCTCGGACGCACCCTTGGGACCTGGTCCCCTTATTTTACCCCTTGTCATCGGTCGCAGATTTCTGCAGCCTAGCCCTTTAGGGTGCTCTGGACTAGTCCTGACACGCCTCTCTCCTCGCCAGGTGTCTCAGCACCCATCTCGGCAGATCTTTGTTTTCTACTCCGCTGGAGCCAGACCCCACCACCTGGGGTCCGGCCTGAAGGTCCCGGCCTCGGACCCCTGGGACTACTCCAGCCGTGCGCTTACCCCGTCGTCCAGGAGCCTCGGGGCAGACGCCCCCGCACTCCTCCCGGCCCGCAGCTGTGCCTGGTCTTGGCTTGGGCTTCCCAGGAAGTGGCGGTCTGACCACAGGCTTCAGAGGAACCCTTTGATAGCGCAGGAGGGGCACGTCGACTACGGGTCGAGTTCCTCAGAAACCGGGCGGGGCCGGCAAGGTCCCCTGAGGGAGGCCTTGGCTCATCCTCCCACGCTGGAGAAACTGAGGCTCGGGGAGGGGCTCAGATTTGCAGTGGCTGTCAGATGGGGAGCTTCGGAGGAGACACACACACTCCTCACTTTAATTTTGGGGAGAGAGCAGCTGGGCACCTCCAAAAGCACTTTGGTGCCCAACGAAAAGATGGTTCATGTGATGATTCTTAAAACCTACTGTTTTCTCTTTGCAGCACTCTCTGCCCCCCACTTCTTCCTGCCTACTCAGTCAAGCGGCTGCCTCCACCCAGCTCTCACACCTTGGGCTTGGGATGGTGGTGCAGACTATAGTGTGTTCATTAAGTGTGACCAAGTGATCCTGTCTGGTAGAAAGGCATGGAGTAGGTGCCTGACTGGAACGTGGATTTTTGAGGAAAAGGAAGAACACAGGAGGGTTGGGGCTGGTGGGTGTGTAGTCTCAGTCTGGAGGGGGTGACACAGAGGACTGGCTGAGGACACGGTGACTGGTCTCACGCTGGCATACACTGCCCTCTACAGGCAGCTGTCAGGTGACAGCCTAGCCAGCTCCTCTTTTTGAAGCTCTGGTGCCGGTTTTCCGGCCCGCCTTTTGCCCCCAGGCAGAACCCAGGCCCCCTGTGTTTCTTCGTGAACACAAAAGGTAGCCCCAAGACCAGTCTTGCTGAGGACCCCGTCAGCTCCCTGAGCTGTGTGTGACAGCAGCTAGTGTTGGTCATTGATGTGGTGGACGTGGATCATATGTGTGTACGCATACATGCACTTGTGTGTAGGGGGTGACAGAAGATACAGAGCCATGCATGTGCCAGTGGTCAGGTGCTGTGTTCATTCCAAAGCCGGACTAGACCCAAACGAGCTGGGTCCAAGTCCACCCTTTGACTTTCTAGCCTTGTGCCCTTGAGCATATAATTAACCCACCTGCCTTCGTTTCTTCACCTGTAAAACAGATAATAAAGGTACCTCCCTCAGAACAGTGGGTATCAACTGAGGGATCATGGGTTAGGCAAGTGCTTACAATAGTCTCTGACATATAATAAGCATTCAGTAGGTGTTTGCTGTTGTTGTTCACCCAAGGATGCCTGTGGGTATGGCAGCATGTTGGAGCCCGCAGACACCTGGCTTCATTCCTTATGCCCATCTTAGAAGCCCTAGGTGAGAAAGCACAGGTCAGAGGAGGCACAGGCAGAGTAGAAATAGGAGAGTTTCACTAGGGCAAACCAGGCCCCTGGATGCTGGCCATGGGGAAGGTTAGCAACTCCTTTTGTCGCTTGAGCTGGGGGCAGGTCATCCAGGCCCAGAGAAAGCAGCCAGGCTGGTCTGGCTCCTGCATGCCTTTTCTTCCTGCCAACATGTCTCCTTGGCAGAGGGAAATCTATAAATAGCTGATGGCCCTTATGTCCCCATGCCCCATTGACAGTCTCTTGGCTACTTGGGAGGACTACCCCTTCTCCCTGAGGATTGGTTTCTCCTTCTCTTGTCCTCCCCATCTTGCTGATACCCTCCCATCCATCCCAGTCGCGCCCCTCCTTCATTTCATTTACTGGGATGGATTGGCCTAATCTGACCGTGTGATAAACGCTTTATAGTCCTGAGACCATTGGATTGGTATACAACAATCCAACCTGCCCATTTTACAGATAGAGAAACTGAGGCTAAGAGGGTAAGTCACTTGCTGAGGGACACACAGCTTAGAAGGGACAGAGCGAAGATTCATACACAGGATATTGGACCCCAAAGCTTTTGCCCTTGTCTACTGTATTGTACACCCCCTTCCCCTGACCTGGTGATCTCAAATCCTGATCTATCTGCTGGAAAAACAGGAGATGCCAAAGAAACCAGGGATTCATTTGGACCCTGAGCCTGCCTAGGGAGGAGTGGGTGCGGGTCTGCCAGCTTCCTTCTCATTTATAAGCTTAAGGAGCTCCAGGTCTTGGCTTCCAAGCCTTCGTCTCGCCCTCTGTGGCTTGGAGCCCTGTTGAGTCTGTTTCCTGGCCTGCACAAGGGGAGTAGCCCCCTCCTCCAGTCTGTCCAGATCCTGGTTGTGAAAGCATGGTGAGTCAGGCCCTAGTTGTTGAACCCACGTGGGTTCTCTTCAGTGCCAACATTGACGGTTACTATAGCTTTGTTTTCATTTTCAAGTCCCAAGTTCAAAACGAAACCAAATCTAGATGCCAAAAGGGAAAAGGAAACATGCTGATTGACAAGCATGTGTCTCCTGGGCTGTTCTTTCCGCAGGACTGGTGCTAGGTTCACAGGAAGCTGGGCAGCATGGGAGCCTTGAGGAGCTGAGAATCTACAACAAGAGTGGGCTGCATTTGGACTCCAGGCCTACTGCATCCTAGATGAGTGACCTTGGGCATGCAGCTGCCCTCTCTGGGCCTCATTGGACCCATCTGCAAAATGGACTCTGGAAGTTTTCCACCTCATAGAGCAGCAGTGCATGCAAAGCCTGAAGCAAAGTGCCAGGAACACAAAATGTGCTCAGCACAAGTGGCTTCTTATCAGCAGGGTCAGCCCTGTGTCCACAACTTGCTGGGCCATAGCCAGACATGTGGAATGGTTCTCCTCCTCCACTTGGCAGGCCCTGGCAACCCAGAAGTAAGGGTCCCAGCCCTCAGAGCTTAGTTTTGCAGTTTTTCTTTCCAGCTTGGGCAAAGTGCCGCTGAGAAAAGCAGCCCCTGGTCAGGATGTATCATCCTGAAACTGCTCCCTGCCCCTGTGCTCCTCAGCCCTCCTCCTCCTCTGACAGGCAGGGCAGCCAAGGTTCCCGCGGCAGTCTTCCTCCGGAGAGCCGAGCTGTGGGATCTAGAGCATGGATTCTGCTATCAGCTGGCCTGGGTTTAAATCTGTCACTTAATAAGCATGTGGTCTGGGGTAAGCTTTGGCTTCTCTGTGCCTCAGTTTCCTTATCTTCAAGGTCAGGGTAATAGTGTATCTATTTCACTTCTTTGGTGTTTATTTAGTAGACATTCATTGAGTGCCTACTGTCTCCCTGGCACTGGGGACTCAAGGGTCGTCAGCAGACCTAGGGGAGACAGATGGATTTCACAGGATCTTTTCAGATCTTGGTAAGTGCTATGGGCGAAATAAACAGGGAGAAAGGGAGCCGCAAGGTGCTTATGGGGTGGGGGAGGAGTGAGATAAGGCAGGGAGGGAAGCCTGTTGGGGTGTAGTGACATGGGAGCTGAGGTCTTTCTAAAAGTGGGTGGGGAGGATTCCAGGTCGGAGAGCCAGTGCCGAGGCCCGAGCTGGGAGTGAGTAGCATCCTGAATGATCAGAAAGGAGATGTGTAGAAAGCAAGAGGTGGGGCCTAGGGCTTGGCCAGTTGAGGGGGCAGGGCCTTGCTGGGAGGTGGGAGGGGTTTGGATTTCACCCTGACTGCAGGAAACAACCCTAAAAGCCCAGGAGACTGCAGGATTGAGTGTAGAAAGAGAGAAAGAACCCTCTGGCGGCTGACCTTGCAAACAGCTAGGGCTTCAGCCAGGATGACCTTCAGCAGGGACCTTGGGGCACACCTCATGACTGTCCCTGACCACCCCCCACCCCCTTGCAAAATGTCACCACACTGGCCCCTGAAAGGTGTGTAAAGACTCCTCTTAGGAAGCGCTGGGACATCTGTGCTTTGTGGGAGAGAGCACTGCTCTGGGAGTTCAAGGCCTGAGTTCTAGGGGTAGCCATTACCCCCCAGGAGGCTCTGGGAAGGGGGTCACCATTTGCTGGTGACGACTTTTTGGTATATTGTCTGATTTCCTTTTCCTCCTGGTTCTGGAAATCATGTGTCACCATTTACCAGATGAGAAAGGCATGACTCAGGGAGCTGGTGAGACCTGGGGAAGGTGGTTTGGGGAGCCCTGCCTCACTGTGTGTGGTAGGTAGACCCTGGCCCTAGCCCTTCCCCACAGCCAGAAAGACCGTGTGTGTCAGCGGGGGGGTGGGGGAGGGGTGTCTGTGCAGCCGGGGACTTGAGTCCAAGGAGAAGGTCCTCCTCTTGGACAGAGGAGGCCGAAAGGCCAGGGAGTGATGACATGAGCCCGTGGCTGAACTCCAGCGTAATGACAGGCTGGCTCCTTGGCCATCCTGGGGAGACTTGATGAGAACCTTCTAGCAGGCCCATTTAGCCCTGTGTGACAGGTGAAGAAAGGAGAGATTGGTCAGAGATGATGTGAAGCAGCTGGTACTAACCAGCTTTCAGAAAGTAGTCACTGTTATTGTGTTAATAACTCCCAAATAGGAGGGGCTGGAAAGAGGATTTCTAAGAG